GGTCAATGACTGACCTGAGAAGGTAAAACTGGGTATCATTGGATTCGTCTCTTCCCAAAGAATCTTTTTGGTCTTTACCGCTAAGCTCTATCTCCAACAGGAACGAAATGGCGCGGGGGGGGGGGGGTGGCAACCACTCCCCCCCCCCCCATGTGCGTTCTAGGATGGGAAAATGGCATGTGCGGGCGAGGGTTAAACTCTCGATTTTGACGACGGTTTGGCGCCCCCGGATTGCCAGGTCGCCCCTACTTCAACTTGCCGCCCCCCCCCCCTCCCGAAAATTCCTGGATCCGCCCCTGCTCACACTGCAACAGGAGACAGAATCCCGCACTGGTACAGAAGGCAGGAACCCACACTGGTGCCGGAGACAGGATTCCACAGTGGTACAGTGGATCTAGTTAGGATCTCCAGACGTAACTAGATGGCGTTGAGCCTTAGTCGAGTCCATGTCAAATTCAAGGGGAGGTCAGTACCGAGCTGGGCCCGGTGGGGAAGTGGGGAGGGGCGAGGTCACGGTGCGGGTGACCTGTCAAACAGCCCCGGCGCAGCTACGTGCTGCAGTAGGGAAAAGACGCATTCCAGCCGGCTCGCTGTTCCATATCGCGGTGGCGGGCCTGGCGGCCCGTAGCCTGGCGGTTTGGAAGGAAAGGATAAAGGCATGGGTTTGCCGTGGTCGGTTCATCTATTGTCACCTATATGACGCACTCAAAGTACTGCATATATGTGATGTTGGTAATGCATGATGCTATGGTAGGTATTATTGTGGTAATGATTGCGATGTTGGTAATGCAGCTGGCAGTGGAATACTAGCGAATGCTCCGAGCGCCGAATAGCTCTAAGGATTAGGATTATAAATATAGCCTGAAATTTTCATTGAAGATAATTCCAGCACTAGAAATATCCTTCACCAGTTTTGGACTGGCTGGTGTTTCTTGCGTAGAGCGCCTTTTGACAAATAATTGTCATGGCCGGCTATTTTTTTTTTTTGTATGACGGGTCACATCGGACTAAGGTCAAATTTAGTCGCTAAAAGGGGATGAGAAAAAGTGGACGAGTATCGCATTTTTGTGCATAAGGTTTCGAATTAAAAAACTAAGCCAAAATAAGTTAAACAATAAAAAATCATAAGAATATATGACCCGAAACTAACTTCTGTTTTGTATGATCATGATTGGATGTAAGACCCCGGTCCAGCCTGGTTCAACCCGGTCTAGCGGGTGCAAGAAATGAGGCCGCTTTCTGGTCCCGGCGTTTTATTCTCCGGGCGGGTTAATCCCGTCCAGCGTTTAGCCTTTCGAGACACACTCAGGGTCGCGGTTGTTTTCGCCCCGCGCCCCAGTCGAGATGCAAAGTTAATAGTCCCACGAAGCTTATTTAGGACCAGCCAAACCAGCCTAGTCTGGAGTCACTGTTAACCCTAGAACGCCTAGGGGGGGGGGTTGTATCAACCCCCCCCTGAGGTTTTTTCGAAGTGCACGCTAAACGGCTTGTCGTAGCGGGCTGAAATTTTCAATACCCTCTGGGGCAACCTTTGCGCATCTTTTGCCGAAAAAAATTGATCGGGTCATGTCAGGTCACGGAGTTATGACGTCATAAGAGGTACAGCCTCCGGCCGACTGTTACCAAACGTGTGCGCCGAATCCCTAGGTTTTCTGCCGGTGATACCCACATTGTTTGATGGATCATGATGAAACTTCCCATGCATGTTGGGGGCAAGCATTGGCTATCGTGTGGTGCAAGAAAATTGACCGGGTCAGGTCAGGTCACGGAGCTATGACGTCACAAGAGGAACAGCGTCCGGTACTATTTTTGAAAAGCGCCCGAACCACTATTTTGCTAATTCTTGTCACCTCAATGGGAATATGCAGCAATATTAGCTTCTATAGGGAGCAAATGGACCTCCCAAATCCAAAAATACAATCAGATTTCAAAAATTTAAATTTTGATTTTTCGAATTTCTGCCGCCGACTGTGACCTTGCCGACTTCCGGCGCTCCCAACGCGCCATTTTTAGAGCTAGGGAAACGAAATACATACCAAACGATAGAGAATTGATCAAGGAACACGATAGTGAAGGTTTCAAGTCGATATCTCCCACCGTTTTGCCGCAATCGCCGCGGAAAGTTGAAAAAGTTTGATTTTTTCGGAAAATTTGACCTTTGACCGGTCATAAGTAGGTCAAATGTTGACCTAGGACCAAAAAATATACCACCAATCGCGAGATCTCGTTGAGAGCAATCCGTTGGTTTTTTCCGCTAAGCTCTACGACCTTCCGTTTCGAAACGCCAGGGGGGGGGTCGTAACAACCCCCCCCCCCCTGGTCGTTCGTGTTATGAGAAATGGCCTGGTCGTGCGAGGGTTAAATGTATGCATATAGATGAAAGAAAAAGGTTTTGTAGAATCGATTAGTTTCGAAGTCGTATATGCAGGGGCCTCAAATAAAGTTCGTGTGACTATCAACTTTGCATCTCGAATGGGCCGAGCGGCGAAAACAACCGCGGCTCTGAGAGGGTCCCGAAAGGCTAAGCGCTAAACGGGGCTAACCCACCCGGAGAATAAAACGCCGGGACCAGAAAGCGGCCTCATTTTCAGCACCTGGTTCGGCTCCCTCATTTACCTTCGGGCTTGGCCTCGTGACATTCACAGACGTCAGACATTCAACAAACAATTTTGGCGGAAACACTATCCAGCAAGCTGCGCAGTGCGCAGGGGCGCAGGATGACAGGTGTTCGTAGCGTTGGGGCTGGGTGATCTGTGTGCCGAGTGCGATGTCGTGGGTTCGAGCCCCACACGGCTCTGGTTTTATCAAGACACTAGCCAAAACCTTTCCTTTTACTGCAATACTGACAAGCACGGTGATTTATCTTTCCCGATATCCTCTTAACAAAGTCAAAATTGTCGCACCTGTATATTTATTTTAATGTTTTGCTGAGTTTCATGAATTTTCTTTTTTTATTTTTGGTCGTTTCTCTGGACCCATTTCAACTCGTGATTCTTTTCGATCCGATAAAAACCCATCAAGGCTGAGCGTGCCAAATAATGAAAGAAATTATGCAACTGAATATAAATTAAGAAAAGCCTTACACATCATGCAAGGATCGACTGAAAGTATAGGTCCTAGATTTCAATTATGATTGGTTAACATTTTTGCTGCAAGTTTGAGGCGTTGCCTTTCGCTTGCCAGTTTGTTTGAGATAGCTATTCCCTTCAGTCGCATTCTTGCTGGTTTCACATGAACAGGGTGTTGTTTCACCGGCGATCGCAGGACGCTGCTATTACTACGTGTCAAATTGGGTTTCCATGGAGACGTCAACAAGCCGTTTGCTCCAACACTACCACAAGTGTGACGTCAGCAGATATCACCGGTGAAACACCACCCGGGATACCACTACCTGAGGGAGCGCACCCGCAACCAGCATCCCCTCCCCTCAGCCGCGGCGCAGTGGCGGGCGGCCCACTCCCGGCGCTACGCACGCTCCACGCCGCGATAGCAGCGCGTCACCCCCCCCCCCCTCCCTCCTTCCCCACAATGACCGGTGACCTCGCTCCCCTCGGGAGTTGGACTCGCCCTACCCCGACCGTAGCGCCACGTGGTGGCTCTGGAGATCTTAAATAGACCCACTGTACAGAAGGCAGAATCCGCTACACTGGCACAGAGGATCCCACACTGGTACCGGAGACAGGATTCCACACTGGTACCGGGGACAGGATTCCACACTGGTACCGGAGACAGGATTCCACACTGGTACAGAAGGCAGGATCCCACACTGGCACAGGAGGCAGGATCCCGCACTGGTAGTTAGTCGGGAGCTGGGACTGGGGCCGGGCCCCGCACTAGTTGTCCGTCAGGAGCAGGGTCCAGCACATTTCAGGAGCTGCCCCACCCTGGCGCAGCGTCCGGCCGTTCGCCGCTCCCCGGAACGGGTGGTGTTCGACCGGTAGTCATGGCAACCGGTCGGCGCGGATTGCCGGAGGGTGATTGATCGGGGCTCGTTCACCTGAGCTCACTGAGTAGCGCCTCACCGCCGGCTATTGTGAAATTACTGGAGCTTCGTCTGGTTCGACGGAGCACTCTTCCTAGGGATTATTTACTGGCACAGCGCTCGTTTTTAACGCATTTTCACGAGTGTTTTAAACGAGTATAATGCTGCAACCAGAGTCTAAGCCTAGTGAGCATCGTTTAAAGGCCGCCCCACACTGGATCTCGCATGCGGGTTGCGGGTTTTTGGGTTTCCGGGTTTCTTCAAAATCAAATAATACAACCTAAGCTGAGTGACCCACACTACCATGTAACAAGTGAGTCTGCATGTTTTTAGCTTACGAGCCACCTTATGTCGCATTCCAAAAGCTTATTTTAAGTCAACTTTCGATTTTCCTCGCTGCGAGGTCTGCGAGTTCGGCGAGGTTTGCGGGTTTTTCGTTGGAGTCGAATTTTGGTTCGTTGCGCTGGTATTGCGACTTTATGTAATTTTCGGAAGGTGCACCGGCTTCACTGCATTCATGAAGCTACTATACCATAAGGGGACGGTCTAATCACTCTATGAATTAGTATTATGTCCGCAAACTCAAAACCCGCAAATTCGCAACCCGCATGCGAGTTTGCGGTTTGCTTTCGGCCGAGGTCGCCGTTTTTCGCGCACCGTGCTAAACCAATGGCGAACGTGCCTCGTGCTCGCGATCCTGCCAGAGACGCACCCGTGGTCGAATCGCACAATTTTGATACGAGCTTTCGATTTGACCGCGCTTGTCGACTGCCAAATTTCACGCCCCTGCGTGGCGCCGTTCCGGCGCAAGACACCCAGATGTCGATGACACTTTTCGTTTGTTACACACGGACCGAGAACTTCTCTTTAATATGACCTTGGCCTCGGTCATTTCCTCGGTCAACCTCGGTCATTTCCCTCGGCCGAGTTTGCTTATCACCCGGACATATCTTACCCACATCTCAGCAATCCGGCGAGTAGTAGCGAATGGCTGTGTCCGTCGATGTGTGCTACGTACCGGACTGTTGGAGGCGGCGCAGGCTCTCCACGCTGCGCCGCAGGAGGTCGTTATTGCGCCGCAGAGCCTGGGACAACTGGGCCGGCCGGGGAGCGGCGGCGACGTCCACGGCCGCCGCCCGCTGCAGGCCGCTCAGCTGCGGCAGAGAGAGCACAGCGTCGGTCAGCAGTGGACACCGGCAGAGGGGCCCGGTCAGCAGCGGTCACAGCGCGAGGTTATCACTCATGGCAGCCTGTTTTAGGTCAGGGGCGCAAGGGTAGTTTGACAGACGGAAATAAGGATAACTTGATGCCACAAACAATTGTGTAGTAAATTCCTGATCCAGCGAAAGGGCTAAATACTTCACTGGGGCAACTCCGAGAAAAACATTGCCAGACCACTGATCAGAACACACCACACATAATGTGCGCAGTGCGCACTGCGCAGTAGGCACCAGCTAGCGATGACCAAGTAACAACAGAATCAGCGAAAAAGGAGCAGACCGATTCGATTTGATCACACAAAGCGAAAAGCCGTTTACCCCACGGGTTGCCTAGCAACGACACCTAACACATTCGAGCTGATGTGAGCTGCTGCGGGCGAATAAAACAACTCTGTACTGTACAAGTACACCAACATCATCCATACTTTCACAGCTGGATTCACGTTGATTTGCCGCAAACGTTTGACGCTACCCTGTCTCATGACTTGCTCATGGCCGATCCAACAGCTCCACTACTGCGTGCCACCATCGGATCTCAAAACAGAACAAGACAGAATATCACGTCAAAACATAACGTTAGAGCCGAGCGGTAGAGTCCTGTACCGAGAGATCATCAGGCACGGCAGCATTTCGGTGGTCACCCGCCTGCCACTCTGTCACGGCAACATACAACGACGAATGGCGCGAAATGGCGTGTCTTTCAGCGCCCTGCCGTGTCCGCCACCACCTGACCCGAGCTCAGACCTCGGAGCGTCCCCCAGTCTGCCTTCCTCCGCGGCTCGCAGCACCGCGCCGATACCCCCGCACAGCGGAAAACATCACTCCATCTGCCGTAATTAACATTCCCCGGCACACTGCACATTGTGATACTATAATATCAATGTTATATTACTGAGCTCAGAAGTTGATTGCAGTAATGTATTTCAACAAAACTGAGGCACGGTTTTTCAATGTTCGTCGGAAAGCTGGATATCTCGATCAAACGAACGGTTTTATTTCGATATTGGTTGAGGATTCCGGCTCAAAAAATTAAACGACAGACTAAATATTGGTCAAGGAATCCGGCTCAGAAAAGAGTTAAACGACAGACTTCCTAAACGTTGGAAGTAAACACACCTATTTCATTTCCTTTTAACAATTACGAAGTTTTAGTCCATCTTTGATAATAATGTATGGACTATATAGAAGAGAGGAAACAATTTAATTATGCCTTCATGATAGTGATTGATATAGGCACGTTCCCTATGAATTTATCTCGAAGGCTTCGTATTTCTTCACTATTCGAGTAGGTATAATCGACTACAGAATGGTGTTCCACTTTTCACAGGCAATTATTTGCCTGGAGTGGTAGGGTGTGCCGCATCACACGGGCTGAGTTCACAAATTATAGCTTTGTCCCAATGCTCACAATCGACACGCTTAATTGCGTGATAAACGGCACAACTTAGCGCTCCGGTCAACTGATAGCTTCTGAGGAGTGGAACATCATTCTGTAGTCGACTATACGCAACCCAGTAGGTAATTACATCGCCTTGAACACTTTTTTGCTCTGCAAATAGCGCACTGCTTCACCCCGGTGCCCGGCCCGACCTTCGTCAGTGTTCCTGACCAAAATAACCGAATGTTTTGTTAAGTAACTAAAATACCTTCCGTTCAAATTACGTTTTTCTGCTGCAAAACACCCGGAGTGTCACTTTTGCGAAGGTCAACCGATGGGGATGGTGCATTTGCTAACAATGACAGCCAGCTGGTGCTGCTCGGATCAGTAACTATAGCTCCTGACTGCACCCACACGAGGCCACATATCACCCAGCGCGTTCAGCGCCAGGAGCTGCCGTGGCACGCCGGCGGGCCGCCGGGGATACTCACCACCTCGTCGAAGGACTGCTGGAGCGACTGGTGTCCGGCACGCTGCAGCTGCACCAGCCGCCGGGCGATCTCCTCCTCCGTCATGGAGCTGATGTCCGGTGAGTCCGACCGGTCCTCCGCGTCACACAGCTCCGGCGCCGCCGCTACAGACAGCTGGGGACGGAGGGGGGCAGCAGTCAGCAGCAGTAGTCAACCGGGAGTGGCCAGACACTAGCTCCGCCGCCGCCGCCACAGACAGCTGGGGGACGCTGGCCGCATGGAGGGGGGGGGGAGGGGGAGCGATCAGCGGGGTTGGCGCCGCCGGTACTGATAACTGGAGGACGGAGGATGACCAGTCAGCAGGGAGAGAGGTTCAGCCTACAAATATCGAGCCAAAGACAAGCCTAAACACGTTCTACAAGAACACAAGTCTGTTCGCGAAAATTCAGATAGCTTATTGCGACACAAGCTGACACAGATTCAGTATGCTAAGCAAAGTTCAACCCCATCCTGATGTCGTCCGCTCCCTGAGGCGTCTCTCCTTCGTCCCCAAACGCAGTGCCTGCTCGCCCTGTACCACACACCGTCCTCCCGCCGCCGCGTCCCAGAGTCGGCCTCCACAGCTGGCCTGTACCACACACCGTCTTCCCGCCGCCGCGTCCCAGAGTCGGCCGCCCGGCCCCGCTCACCTGTACGTCCATCTCGTCGGAGCCGCGGTTGGCCTGCTCCAGAGAGGGTGGCGCCAGGCCGGCCTCCTGCAGGCGTCGCCGGGCGGCGCTCAGCTGCCGCTGCTGCAGCGCCACCTGGTGACGCAGCGCGCTGCTCTCGCGGTGACTGGCGGCCAGCTGGCGGTGCAGCTGGCCGGCCCGCTCGCGCTGCCGGCCGGCCGACTCGCGCAGCCGGCTGATCTCGGCGTGCAGCTCGGCCCTGTCGGCCAGCTGGCGACTCGCCTCCTCCGACAACTGGCGCAGCTGCTCCGCCTGCTTCTGGCACTTGTCGTGCGTCGTCTTCAGCGCCACCTGGCCAGCGGCAGGCGGGACAAACCGCGGCGTCAGCAGGGAAGCAGTTGGGAGGCAACAGTAACTTAAGGAAAATATCATATAAGAGATGAAATATGCAATTCAAACTGACAAATAATAAAACCAGCTGTTAAACCCGCGCCCGCCTGGGGGTCCTGGATTTCCACGCCTTGCTGGGGGGGGGGGTCTGAACACCCCCCCTTCTAACTCGGCTCCTGGGCCACGTAGCGATACGCAGAAGGCGGCGTTCGAAAAAGCGTCAAAAATAATGACGAAATCATTTCGGTCAATTTTTTGGCCAGGTCAAAGGTCAGGTCACCAGAGGTTATTGAAGGCAAAATTTCGCCGATTTCCAGGTCGAATGTCGCCAATTTCCAAGATGCCAACGCATAACTCGGGAACCAATAGAGCTACAGCGCCGCGGAAAAGCGCATTCGATAACCCTATTAACGCCCTTTCTGAATAATTCTCTCAGATTTGACCTAACGTCAACGGTTTTGCCTGCAGGGGGCAAAAACTGCAAAAATAGCCGATTTTTTTTCGGAAACAGTTTTTCTGCAATAGCTTTTGACCCAAGCCTTGCACGAGCTTACTTTTACCGGCATCGTGTTCCTCTCGTCAAGACGCATCGAATGAACTATAACTTGACCTTGAAAGGTCAACTTGAAAATTTGACCTAGGTCAAGGTCATGACCTGACCTGAAAGGGTCATGTTGCATATCAGTCGATCCGTATCGTCGAGCTGAACACATCTAATGCGTTTTCATCGCTCTAGCATGCCTCTATCAAAAGTTATTTGCGAAAAACTGTTAGTCTGTTAGATACCATTCGTGACCTAAGATGACCTCAGGGCATAAACAGGGGTCACGGACACCATTTTCATGTTCAGTGTGTCTAAACCACTTGTAATTCAGTGTTTGGGAGTGTTTATAATGTCTTTCGTCCAAAAGAGGCGCATTTCAATTTTCTCCCATTGACTTATACCTAATGGGGAGGTCACAAAATTGACCTGACCTTAGGTCATCGATATCAAAATTCTGAAATAAACATTTTGTACGTGCTATTGCTCTTAGCAATCGCTGAAAGTTTCAAAGCGATCGGTCACTCGGTGTAGCTATGACAGACATTGAAACTTTTTATGAGGTGAGGTCACTTCAAGTGACCTGGTGACCTGACCTTGAATGACCTTGGTCTGAAATTTTCACAACATGTGTAGAATTGATGTATGATAAGGTGTACCAAAAACGGCTTTTTGAGATATTCGCGAAAAACCACAAGGGGGGGGGTGTTCAAACCCCCCCCCCCCAGCAGGGCGCGGATTAATCAAGCATAAGTAAGCTTAATATACAGAAGGCAAATAAGTAGGTACTAATATAATGACAACACAATATCAAATTGATTGAAACATTACCTCATATGCATGTAGAGCACTCTTGTTATCACCAGTGTTATTTACTGCATGACCAGTGATCAGTCTTGAAATATCTGCATTTTCTCTAAAAAGCTGTCCTTTTTTCTCTGATGCCATCCTTGTGGGACCAGCTATAAATTTGGAGCCTATGAAATCTGTGAAAAAAGCACAAAGTTATAACCACCACTAACTCAAAATTATTCTGACAAGTGACACATCACATGTTGGAGCTTTGACACGTCTTGGTAAGTACCTGATAGTGCAAGAATGTCAGTATTTTGTTCAAACACAGACCTTGGTATAAAATCCACATCCCCTTCCCTAACTGAACAGTGAACAGCACTGGGTGAAATTTGCAGGTACATAGATGAGGCTGCAAGGAAGACTGGGATCTCTTTGCTGAACAATACTAGGTCACCTGCATATAGATAGCACAAGTACTTGTGCAGCTAACATTTCTTAAAATGGTCCCACTTCCCATATTGACTCACACCAATATCTGTGATAGCAGGCTGGGGTCACATGCCCTCCAAACACTGCTAATTGGGCAAGGCAGCAATGAGCAACAAGTGTCAAACAGTGTCCAAATACTTGTTACAAATACAATTATCTTTTTTAAAGGTTAGAATACAAGTTATGCCATGACAGGCATGTCATCAAAGATCAAATTTTCCAAGTAAAAACATTTTTGGACAAATTTTGATAACTATGATAAATGAAGTTTAACCCTCGCATGTGTGCGGCATTTGCCAGCTTCTAATGTGTGTGTGGGGGGTCGGTTGGACCTCCCCCCTTGCCGTTTGGCCCCTGATCGAGCTAGAGCTTCGCGGAAAAAACGAACGTGTTGCCTGTGACGAGAGGAGGCCGATGATATTGGTTGGCATTGGTTCATTGATCATTGGTTATTAGATCATTGGTTGACCTTCCAGGTCAGTGGCGGATCTACGTTGGGGCAAAATGGGCAATTGCCCCCCCTAAACGGAAAACCTCTGGGCAAACATATCTTTTTGCCCCCCCCCCTAAAAAACTACAACTTGAATATGTGAGATGATGTTTTTCGTACTCCAGCGTAGATGGGTAGCCATACGGCTTCCACGGTTGACAGTGATGACTTCAGTCATCTTTTGCAAGCTCGTTAAAGATTTGGGCTATACGGGGATAGATAGGGAAGCCCAAATCTTTAACGAGCTTGCAAAAGATGACTGAAGTCATCACTGTCAACCGTGGAAGCCGTATGGCTACCCATCTACGCTGGAGTACGAAAAACATCATCTCACGCTCTCAGTCCCAGCGGATAAAAACAACACCTAAGTACAACTTGAATACTAAAAATATGGTGTTTGAAAAGAAAATGTGAAATAAATGGAGGACTAGAAGGTTGTCATATTCGTGATATTAAGTTGTGAGCTGATAAAAAGTCCTCCGCCCCATGAATGTCAGTCCATCATCCATCAGCAGTGCTACTACTGCTACTGCTACCAAAAAAAAAAAAAAAATAACGCGATTTATTGAAACCTTGAACCAAGTAAACAAACCGTCAACAGCAGACCGCCAGACGCCAGTGGGGTCAGGGGTCACCACACTGGTGAGCGGTTGGACAGTGGTGGGTTTGCATGGGTATATAAGAAGTGTTTGCATAATATTTTATTGCTAGATAGCATGGGTGTAGGAGCTGAAAAAATAATGGTGGGTCTAAATATCCATTAGTACCTAGCATTTCCACTGTGGCTACATTAGTTATGTCCAGAGGCGGATACAGCCATTTCCAAAGGGGGTGCCAAAAGGGTGCCAAAGTCCGAGAGTCTCTACAAGAGCTGCATATGTGTATGCAGGACTGAGGAGCGAAAGGGGGTGCCAAACTCAGTTTTGGCACCCCGATTACTGATTTTGGCAGTAATCGGGCTGGAAGCTTACTACCGGGCTAACGTTTTCGCTCCCGCGATCGATAACGTCACATCGGATCTCGACGCTCGTTTCGGGCGTCACCAGCGTCTCAGCTTCGCTCTCAGCCGCTTGGTTCCGAATCGCGTGGTGTCCATCGAGTGGGAAGAGGTCAAGCCTGCATGGGAAAAGTACCAGGGACTCGTCAAGTCGTCGGAAAGACAGACCGATGCAGAGTTCACCATCTGGAAGGCACGGTGGTCCCAAACTCCGCCAAGTGAGCGGCCAGTGACAGCCATCAGAGCACTCGCTGCCTGTGTCAAGACAGTGTTCCCAGCGGTATCAGCAATGCTGAGGATCCTGGCGACGCTACCAGTGTCGACTGCTGAGTCGGAACGCACTTTCTCGAAAGTGAACCTCACCCTGTCGGCCATACGCGCGACCATGACCGAGGAACGTCTGGAGTCGCTGATTCTGCTACAAGCACACCGCACCGAGCTACCAGCCACGTCTGAGGTCGTCACTAGGCGATTCCTGGATGGTGCAAGGCGTCCTCGCTGAAGGTGAGTGAGAGGTGTGGACACTTCATAAGTCCGGCTACTTATCTGACCCGGAGAGGGTGTCGGTGAGGATTAGTGATGAGTTCGGTGGGGATTAGTGATGGGTAAACAATGTGGCAGTCAGACGCTGTGAAATGTGAAGTAAAGCTGCGCTGGTGGTAGCTGTAACATGGCAGGCGAGATAGAACTGGTTGAGTGAACGATATGGTTGAGCTACTGCCGCTGTGTCACTCAGTGATGGCCAGAAAGAACGGTGTACTGCGTGCCTTTGAGAACAAGTGCGAGATAGGTTTCTGAGAGGAATAACGTAAAGAAGATTACCAATCGCGGCTTTTTCATGAGCCATACCGTTATCTAACTGGGACAAACACAGAAAGGCTCAGTCAGAGCTTTTGGTTTGCGAGGTGTTGGAGAAGCTCAGTATGTTGTGGGAACTTAACCCATTAATGCCGGAATTTTTATTTTTTGATTCTTAAGTTGCCCTTAACAAATGTTAGCCACACGGGTCCCAGTAAGAAAACTGCGCAAGCTTAAAAAAATTATTCCATCGGTTCTCAAGTTATAAGCATGGATCATAAATGACCCAACCGGCATTAGTATAGTCACAAATAAGGAGTTATCACGAAAACCGATTTAGCTAGCTACCTTATTGTGTATACTGTATAACGGTCTCAGCCAAACAATATTAAGAGGCACTGCATTGCAATGCTTTGCAACGTCAAATTGGCGAGGCCGTTGGTGCCGGTGGCAGGCCTGTGGTGCCCCTGTTAGGCCTCTGGTGCTCCTGATACTGTCAGGGGCACCATAGGCCTGAGAGGCCTGTGGTGTCCCTGGGCCCTGACAAGCCTGAGGTGCCCCTGACAGGCTTGTGGAGCCCCTGACAGGCCTGCGGTGCCATTGCTAGGCCTGTGGTGCCCCTGCTAGGCCTCTGATGCCCCTGGGTCCTGGCAGGACTGTGGTGCCCCTGACAAGCCCGAAGTGCTCCCGACAGGCCCGTGGAGCCCTTACAGGCCCAAGGTGCCCGTGCGAGGCTGGTGGTGCCCCTGTGAGGTCGATGGTGCCCCTGGCAGGTCTCTGGTGCCCCTGGCAGGTCTGTGGTGCCCCCTGGCAGACCTGTGGTGCTCTTGCTAAGCCGATGGTGCTCCTGCAGGCCTGTGGTGCCCCTAACAAGCCTGTGGTACCCCTGACAGGCCCGTGGTGCCCCTCGGCCGGCCGAGTCGCCGGCCCGCCCCGCGTCACGGCCCCGCACGACCGGTCCACTCATGATATCTCAACATCGCAGCACTAGGCCTGTGGTGCCCCTGTCAGGCCTGTGGTGCCCCTGATAGGTCGGTGGTGCCCCCGGGCCCCAAGGGAGGTCATGAGTGACCCATATGACCCCCTCCTTTGGAACCGCCACTGGGATCTGATCACAACCCCCAGAAATAAGTAATCGTATAATCATCAGTTGCTTCCCTTGTATTCAACATACGAGAAAAATGACAACACTATTGCCGGCTGGGTCACTTATGACCCAATGATATTTATCGAGGAAAAAAAGTTATCCGATGGCGACAAGGAGGGCAAAAATATACATCATGCCTTTTTCAGACAAATTTAAATGCCAGGTGGACGATCATTCAACAGATAGTAAGGTGCAAACATAATATAATATTACTTTTTGTGGCGGCGCGCCATTGCCAGTGACCGGCGACTGTGCAGTCCCGTCGTCTTTGGCTCCAGAAACTTCAGAAGACGAGCTCACACAAGTTTTATGCGGCTCCGACGCTCGCCACTGAACCCACAAATCCAACAAAACACACGCACAAGTTCCTCAAAGTGCCACTTGCCTCCATTGAGAAAAATCGTTAAGGTTTTGCTTTTGGGTCATATATGACCCAAGCGGCATTAATGGGTTAACGCTGTTCAGTGTGATTCCGTTGGCTGTTGCGCTGTGGTCCTATGTAGTCTGTAGAAGCATCGTTTATCTCCTCTCGAAAGTAACACTTATTGTATAATTTTGCTAGCTCGCGAAGTTTAGTCCCAAAGTTAAGGAATGTTCATTGTAATTGCATCAATAAATGCAGGACCGAAAACAAATGCGCTGTTCTTCGTCTATTTCTTGTTGGGATTCTTAATCGACTGAACTCATTTTCTATTACCGGAAACAACTGTTAAAGGAAATAGTTCACTTTTAACATGGGGTTTTGAGCTGGAATAGCAGTTTCGTAGCTTGAGCTGAGACTAGCACAAATCAGGAGCTTTTACGGCTCAACGATCACCCTAGTATACGAATACTGCATGGGGGAGCGGGCAATAGCAAAAAATATTGCCCGATGTGACGTCACTGTCGCCCGAGGGTGAAGACCTCCACAAGTGCTATTGCCCTCGGCTTCGCCTCGGGCAATAGCACTTGTTTCGGTCTTCACCCTCGGGCGACAGTGACGTTACAGAGGGCAATATTTTTGCTATTGCCCGCTCCCCCATGCAGTATTCGTTTTATTACATGGCCAACTCTCGGAATCTTTACTTAGTACCTACTCATTCATCCCGTAATAAAAAATATCCAAACACAAATATCATGGTACAATTGAATGTATTAGATATACAATCATAGCCACGTCACATGTCTACGGCACACACTTAGTTGTTTTCTGTTTTCTGTTTCTGTTTTCTGTTTCACGCCGTACTTGAGAGTGTGGAGACTCTTCGATTTGTAGCGTTCGCCGTCCTTGCGTTTTACGGTAATGAAGAACTCCTTCACAGCGTTGTCCAGGACATCGTTGCTGTGCATGCAGCTTTCAACAGATATGCCTTTTACTTGCAAGAACTCAATGAAGACGTCTTCTGCTGATTTAATCACCTTTTTAGTGCCCTGAGCACTGCGCGATGAAAATAGCTCATCCAATTCATGCGGCTCCAACAAATTAAATCGGGGCATTTGAACGGACATGTTCAAATGACGGCCCAGTTCTAGATGACTTGACTAGCCAATCACGAAATCAAACTGAACAGTCTGAGAAAACGACGATAAAATTACGACATTTGAATTTTTGTTCAAACACCACTGCGCGAGCAACTTACTATTGACCGTTGACATGGCAACCGCTTCTCACCTTCAGAAAGGTCAGTAACCTGACACTGAAAGGTC